AATGGATCACCTGGCACCCCGACTGGGCACCTCCATTGACGGACGCTTCCTAGCTGACGCTGAGGACCATAAGCACCGCACTGGACACCACAACCACCCCAGACTCCACCATCGCCGTAGCTTAACTGGAGTCTCGCTGTCTTCCTTCCACCCTGCATCAACCTCTGTCCTCCAGGACCGTGTGGGAAAGACCTCTCCTCCAGGACAGCGTAACAGGAACAGCTCTTAAAAGAGCTAAGTGATTAGAGCTCAGGGGAATATAAAACGTTTAGCAATACAATAATAAAGTTTAACATAGTGTGAATATAGCAGTTCCCTACAATAACGAGACGAGTCTACCTATTGAGGGTTAAGCAGGAACAGATTGAACTGAGGATTTATTGTCTCTTTTATTCAAGTTTTCCCACAAGGTTACCACCCATGTGGACTATGTGGAACACAGGACACAAAGTTACAAAGCCAATCAAAACACTCTTGTACAGTTAGGCACTCCCAGATAATGTACACAAACCCTCCCCTCTGCCCGTGATACAATTACCAAACACAATGGACTAACTCAATTACCCACAGGCAGAAAACACACATTTTTCACAAAACACAGAAAACACCCCAAAACAAACACACCAAAAATCACCCAGATCAGAGCAGGGGTTCAAAAGTTTTGTGGAAGTCACATGTGACTGACCGCAAGCATAGTTTTCATGCCCAAAAGAGTTCCACAGATTTAGGCTGTGTGGCCGGTCTATCTTCTCTTCCATCCTGGAGTTAATTGGCTTAAGTGACTGTAGTAACCTAATTATCTCCAGTAACAGGAAATATCTCTAAGTCAAAAACTGTTACAAAAACCACATAAAAATACATAAGTATTATAATACAATGTTTAACCTATATGTCCAACATATCCCCAGATAGCTTGGATCTGAGCGCTCAATATGTCCGAAAAGTACTCAGATCTCACGAATACAGTTGGATCGCCATGCTGGTGAGAGATTGAGGAGGATCAAAGCAGCCAGTTTTAACTGGTCTGGCAGTGTCCCTGGGACTCAAAACTCTGGAAAACAATAGGACAAGAAAAGGGGGGAGGGGAAGAGGCACATTTTCCCACGGAAATCCATTTTTAGCATGTCTTTATGCATAGTCATGGGGCAGGAGGCTGGCAATCAGCCAGTGGCAAAGGGTATTTTGTCACAGTTCAGTACTTAGGACTTAGTGGAATGTGGGAAGCAGATGCCCGAACTCGCTAAAGTTGAAGCTGTTGCTCAGTGGCCCACCCCTCAAACCAGGTTCTAGCTTTTCTTAGGAACCACAGGCTAATATCGGAAGTTTGTCCTGAATTACAGCACCCTAGCCAAGCCCCTCACTGATCTGACATGAACGAACTTACCCTGACAAGTAGTTTGGGTATGGGTGTGAGCAGGCATTGAAACAACTAAAACAGGCTTTTGTAAATGTACCCGTCTTGGGAGCAGTACTAAGCCAGGTCAGGGAGGATGGTGGAGAACACTCAGTAGCTTACCTAAGCAGGAAACCTCTACCAAGGAAGATGAGCTACATCATTGTAGCAGACCACGGGTAACCTGACCAGTTACCTCCGCTAATTCTCTTCAGTCAGTCGTCCCGGACCCACTTAGTATATACAGAGGCCCATGTGATAATAGCAACTTCACCACTCGTTCTTGGAGGGGCCTGCTGGCCAGCCTTTTGCCTTGGGACTATGGGCCCTGCAATATACATTGCCCAATGCACTTTAAAAGGCTCTGTTCATGTGAAGTATGTACTTTGTACTCCAGACAGAGAGACCGACCATTAGCCCTAATTCTCTGGAACTGTTTTGGGCATGGGACCATGTGCACGGTGGGTCAAAAAAAGACTTCCATGGAATTTCTGAATCTCTGCTCGGATCTTGATGATTTTTGGATATGTTGTTCACCTAAATTAGGGCAATCAGGGTATATGTGGTGTTTTGGGGTGTTTTCCAGACTTTGTAAAAATGTATGTTTTTCTGCTTAGAGTTCATTGAGTTAGCCCATTGTCTTGGTTAATTGTATCACAGGCAGAGGGGAGGGATTGTGTACACTGTATGGGAGTGTCTGAATGTAAACCTCTGTTTTTACTGGTTTGTATGTTTTGTATTCGGTGCCCAACTAGGTCCACCTGGCTGTCACCTTTGCTGTAAAACTTGTATAAAAGACCAGTGTGTGCCATTAAACTGCCCGCCTTCTTACCCTCAACTCGCAGCCTCGTCTCGTGTTGTAGGGAACTGCTATAATCACATTGGGGATTGCTATACTCTGTATACACCCCTGGCTTCGCTCTCTGAACCTGGAACCTGGAGCCTTGTCGTAGGTCCAGGGTGGGTAGAAAACGGCGAGACCCTAACCAAGCTGCAACGGTTCGTGGGGTCTGCAGTGCTTATGGTGTCTGGTGCGGTGCTGATGGTCCTTGGTAAGCACTAGGAGCATCGATTGACGGAGAGTCCGTCACAGCCCATTTCCCCCCTGTAACTGGACAACACCTAGTTCTGGAGGTACAACAACCACTTTATTTGTCACACATGGTTTTTAAGCATAACCCCATGCAAGGGATGTAGCACACACCATATTATGCCCTCCCCCTTCCTGGGAACCAAACGAAGGAAAGGGCCTTGTCCCTTTGTCTCCAAAAGCCTGCCACCCACACACAGGGTTTCCCACATCTGGGGATGGGGGAGGGGTTTTCATCCCAGGAGCCTCTGTACCTGGGAGACCAAGCGTGGGAAAAGAGCTGGACTCTTTTTCCAAGCGGGCACCGCAAAGACCGCCAAACTCGCTGTGGCGAAACTAACCTCGCCACTGGGTCCTGGAGAAGCCTGTGTTACAAAATGCCTTTTGTCCCTATTTTCTCTTATGACAAATTGCACTGCTTCCCCGAGTTATGGAGAAGCCAGCCTCCTTCCTGTGGACTATGGCCCTGGTGTGTATGGCCCTTTAAGAACCGTCTGGGGACATATTGTGACTTTTGTGAACAGTGCCCCTTTAAGACGGTGACCCTTAAAATACTATTATTCATGGCTACTTCCCACTTGGTTCAGTAAATGGGGCTTTCTCAACCAAGTACCACACAGGCGGACCACTCAGAAGTGGAAGCGTGCAGGAAATTTACTTCCCAGGTTGGGAGGCTGCTGTAGGTAAATTTCCGACCGCTGGGTGGCCGCCGTTCATACAAACAAACACATGGAGGCGGCCATCTTTATTCATTTGAACGCGGTCAGCGGTGTGTGTAGCCAAATTCATGGAACTGAAATCGGTTACACATTTCAACAAACACTGCTGACCCTTACCTTCTCCTCCACTGAGTTTTCAGCCACAGAGACTAAGTACCGTCCAGCTATTTGAACACACAGCTATACTAAGCTATTTGCACGAACAGCCCCGTTTGTGCATTCGAATGGGACTTAGTCATTTTTCAGTGTGAAATAGCTATACCCTGTATACTCCCCTAGCTATAATCACTAAGCTATTTTAAGAGCTTATTCCAGCTTCACTCTCTGCAGTGCTTATGGTATCTGGAGTAGCGCTTGGAGCCCTCGAGAAGCACTAGGAGCATCCATCAACGGAGGTACTCGTTTGGAGTACTCGCCAGTGCCCCAGAAGTGCCTACAACAATTTCAGGGATCCCTCACAACGGTACCTGGCTCGAACAGCCTCCATTCACGAAGTCCCTGTGTGAAACCAGGCCAGGGAAGCGTCTCCTTTCAGGATACAAATGCTCACCCTGGTTGGCGTTCATCTATACGAACGAAGCACTCGTTAATTACTTTTCTTGCGCTTTCACACTTACGTTGCGAGTGTTAACTTTCTAATTGATTAGCGTGAACATTCCAAGGGGGTCCCAGGGAGGTCCTCATTCGGGAACCGAACGAGGAGGGAAGCAATTCACAAATGCTCCCCCTGGATGGCATTCATCTATATGAAAAGGCGGTCACCCAGAGGAGGACACGCGCCGTGCCAAGGCTTCCCTTGCAGTTTTGGCACTAGGTCAGGGTGCAAACGTTCAAAAGGAGTTCTAAATGGGGAAGACACTTCAGCCATATTTGTATGGACAGCAGTTCACCTTACTCACAGATTCCAACCCGTTGGTATGGCTAAACTGAGTGGCAAGGGACAATGCATGATTGTTGCGCTGCTGCTTGGCGCTACAACCATACGATTTCACAATCCACTACCGCCCCAGGAAACAGAATAAAAAACCAACTGAGTAAGAGAAATGATACGTGAGAACTCCCTGGACATCCCTAAGTCGATCCGTTAGGATCAGACTGTGTATGCCGACTTGCAGCTAACAGGGAGCCGTGTAGCAAACTGGTTATGCTGTCCGTTTGTTTGCCATAACTCCTCATTCGTTTCCAGAACGAAGACTTATTTCCACATTTTATACCCACTGAACACCGACCATCCTCTGGCTCATTTACTTCAAAGAAACCAATTAACTCACGTGCTCTCTGTGTGGCTGCCATTCGTATGACCGAGCGCATGTGCTTTATGTAATGGTGGCCATTTTGTCTCCAGTGCCTGGTCGTCGAGTGCATGGGACTCATTTCGGACTCAGTAGCTTGCGAACCTCGTAGAAACTGCACCGCTGCCTGCTCCACACATATAGCAAGCCAGGGAAAAGACTTGTTTGTCTAAGGGGAGCATTCGCTCCCTAACAGCCAGAGGGAGAAGTTGCGTGTGCTCGTACAGGAACTCCCGAAAGTTGACCGGCACTGCCTCTTTTTCCTTGGAACTGTTTTGGGCTACCACCTTGTGGCTGGCCAGTCAGAATTTTACCCAAATGGCGATTCCATTACACCGAACAGGTCTGAGAGCTGTTTGGACAACTTGAGCACTCAGATCCAGGCTATTCGGGGATATTAGACTTGTGGGGTTTGAATGTAGTTTTTGGGGACTTTTGTGTATTTTATCTATTGTCTTAAAATCCAGAGCATTTTTATTGAGAAAGGAGGGAGACGGAGACCCCAAGCTGATTACATATTCTTTATTAAACAGTAGTACATGTTGGTGTAAATATAAGTGTGTATGTTTTGTTACTTTTTAATTAGATTTTATTCTATTCAGGAGGTCTACAAGATTGGTTCTCAGAGTTCTTGTGAGCACTGTTCAAGGTTTCTTGGGTTATCTCAGAATTGTATTTCTTCTCCTCGATGCCCTGGGTTAGTATGGATTTTTACGGCAGGTTAGTGCGGTTTTTAAAAGTTGGTGCTCCAAGGAATCTTAATTTTCATAATGAGAGAGGTCACTGAGAAGGCTCTTGTGATGGCTTTCTTGGGTTTGTGGGTTTACTGAGGGAGTTGAGCAGCAGGCTCTATTTTAAGGCTTAAATTTACATATATACTGCTTTTCTGCTTTGCAGTTACTGTCATTCCACTTTAAAAACTCTGCAAGGGAAAACATGAGAGATTAAGGTCAGTCAAAACTCTGAAATATAGGGAAGAGATTACAGACAGCGACATCTGGGAAATACACAGGGATTACAGACAGCGACATCTGGGAAATACACAGGGATTACAGACAGCGACATCTGGGAAATACACAGGGATTACACACAGCGCCACCTGGAAAATACACAGGGATTACAGAAAGCGCCATCTGGGAAATACACAGGGATTACACACAGCGCCATCTGGGAAATACACAGGGATTACACACAGCACCATCTGGGAAATACACAGGGATTACACACAGCTCCATCTGGGAAATACACAGGGATTACACACAGCGCCATCTGGGAAATACACAGGGATTACACACAGCTCCATCTGGGAAATACACAGGGATTACACACAGCGACATCTGGGAAATACACAGGGATTATACACAGCGACATCTGGGAAATACACAGGGATTACACACAGCGACATCTGGGAAATACACAGGGATTACACACAGCGACATCTGGGAAATACACAGGGATTACACACAGCGCCATCTGGGAAATACACAGGGATTACAGACAGCGCCATCTGGGAAATACACAGGGATTACAGACAGCGACATCTGGGAAATACACAGGGATTACAGACAGCGACATCTGGGAAATACACAGGGATTACAGACAGCGACATCTGGGAAATACACAGGGATTACAGACAGCGCCATCTGGGAAATACACAGGGATTACAGACAGCGCCATCTGGGAAATACACAGGGATTGCACACAGCGACATCTGGGAAATACACAGTGATTACACACAGCGCCATCTGGGAAATACACAGGGATTACACACAGCGCCATCTGGGAAATACACAGGGATTACACACAGCGCCATCTGGGAAATACACAGGGAATACACACAGCTCCATCTGGGAAATACACAGGGATTACAATTAGGAGCCAGCAGACACCTGTAAAAGTTAAGCAGTTTTGAACCAGATGCTAGGGAGAGCATAAGGTGATTGGTGAGACTGTGACATGTAGGGATATTAAGAACGGATTTAAGGTTTGGGAGTCACATCTGGAATCTATGGGTGAAGGCATGAGGTATCTGACACAGTAGTAATTATTTTTGATTTTTTTGTAAGTTTTATATAGAAGTTGTGTAAGTGGAGCATATCAGCTTTTTGTTTTTTTATGAGACGTTTTTATGGGTAGCTACACACAGGGCCAGATTAACATAAGGGCTGATAAAGCTGCAGCTCCAGGCCTAAGTCCATTGATTACACACTACTCTTAGGGTTGCCAGGTATTTCTCTGGTATTTGAGGCTGCCTAGCCGGTGGCGGTATTGCAGTAATACCTGCAATACAAATTTCAGTCTCAGTATAAATAGATTATTTTGCAATACCAGCGCCGGCCAGTAGGGGGTCGCTGGGTGTGTGCCGAGAGGCAGGGATAAGAAGTTACAGCATCTCCCTCCCTGCCTCTCTCTACCTATTGATCCACGGGGTAGCAGCTCTGCAGGGAGTCCAGACAGCAGTTCTGAGCCTGCAGAGACAGCCAACAGCTCAGGTAAGGGAGGGATGGGGGAAGGCTGCAGACATGGGGACACAGGCACTAGGGGAAACTGAGACATGGGGATGGTGAGAGAGTTGGGGACACTGGGAGGCCTGGGGACACTGAGACATGGGGACAGTGAGAGACATTGGGAAATATGGGGACCCTGAGAAACTAGGTACACAGTGCCCCCGTGTCTCCCAGTGGTCCCTAGTCTCTGTGTCCCCAGTCTCACAAGGTCCCAGTGTCTCTAAGTGTCCTAGTGTCTAAATCAACACAAGAGACAATTAGGTGTATAGGGAATTTTGATGCAGGTTGGAACCAGATTATGAAAATTCTGGATAGATTTTGGCCCCTCCTACATCAAGATACACACCTACAGAGAGTCATTACCTCAAGAGCATCTGTGACAGCTAGAAGGGGACGCAATATTAAGGATATTTTGGTCCCTAGTCATCTGAAGAATACACCTCAAAAAACTACATGGTTAAAATCCACGGTCTTAGGTACATACCAGTGTGGCAAATGTAAGGCGTGTAAATTTATACGCAGACCATCAAAAAAGTTCCAAGACTCCTCAGGACAACAAGAATTTCTAGTTAAGAATTTCTTTAACTGTCAAACTACGGGAATTGTGTACTTACTGTCAAGCTCCTGTAAGAAATTATACGTGGGTAAGACCTCACGAAAATTTAAATTTAGGATTGGGGAACATGTAAACTCGGTCAATCCGAAAAGATTGGTTGATACTCCAGTCTCTAAACACCTTAAATTACATCATGGTGGTTCAGCAGAGGGCATTAGATTCTGTGGCATTGAAAAGGTTATACTTGGACCAAGGGGAGGGGATCTGGATAAAAGGCTACTCCAAAGAGAGAGCTTTTGGATCTATAAATTGAAAACGCTTTCTCCCCTTGGCCTGAATGAGGGATTTTCATATGCACCTTTTATACAAGATTAAACTGTACAACCTACTTTGGTCTGTATCGACACACTTGGTATCTCTATATACCATCATAAACTATGTAAATAAGCATTGCCTGACGGGTTGTAAAGACCTATACCTTGGTAGTTGCACTTGTAAATTTTTGTAAATAGTAGATGTAGTTGTGGGCTTATATAGCCACTATTTAGATCACTATATATATAGGGTTTTATGCATTTTAATTTCAACCTACCTACAGTCATGAGGATAGTGATTATGTTCTCTAGCTCTGTAACCTGAGGAACTAGCACTAAAGTTAATGATCTAGCCTTTGGTACCACCATTAGATATGATCTATATGACTCCTTGATTTGGAACTTACAATATGTGATTAATATATTAATGTAGAATCATCTGTACATATCTACAGGTCTATTTACATGTTAGAATACAATAGGGATCCCATATGTATAATTGTACACATTGTGGACACTTCAATATAGACCGGTTGATATGACGGGTAACAGAGGCTTGGAATAACATCCCGTAAGCCTGATACATCTCGGACACGCCTACATGAGTGATAGACGTTTCTTGGACACATAGGCTGTCATGTATTGATACGCCCACATGACTACATGTAGGGGCGTACCCGGGATTAATATGTTCGTCCTTGAGTAGGACGGATGACGTGTTGGCTCCGCCCCCTTTACACCACGTGGGCGGCAGACGCAACACGGAAGTAGGAGCACGTAGTCATACACACGTGGGGAACATGTTCCCTGCATACAGATTGGCTGTTGGTAGGAGGAACACCTGGGTACTTAAGGTATTTAAGAGACACTATTATGAATAGCAAGCTGGCCCCTGACGAAGGTGCACTCTCTAAGCACCGAAACGCACGTTGGGCGTTTTGCCAATTTCTACACTGGGCACTGAATGGCACCCTAGCACTATGAATTGCACTTAACACTTTTCTCTTGTTCTATTTTTTTCATATTCCTATGCCTGTCTAGTTAGTTTACCAGGGAGAGAGGCTTTATAAATTTAAATATACATGGCAGTCAGGGCCGGTGCAAAGAATTTTGGGTACATAGGCGAAGATGCGTTTTTCCGCCCCCCCAAAAACATCTTCACCCATGTGCCTCTTAACCTCCCTTTTGTGTTTCTTATCCCGTCTTTTAAATATCTGACTCCCTTTGCCTTTGTGTGTCTCCTATCTCTCCTCTTTGTATGACTCTTACATCCTCCCACATTTTGTGTCTTACTCCTCCCAGCCCCTTTGTGTGACTCCTTTTCTCCCAGCCCCTTTGTGTCTCTTTCAAGCCCCGGTGTGTGTTTCTTTCACATCCAGCCCCTCTCCCTGTCCCTTAATGGTCCCCTCCCTTCTCTGACCCTTACTGTACCTCTCCCCTCTCTCCTCCTTTTCCTGTTCCTCAGTGTTCCTTTCCCTTCCCCCCTCCTTTCCCTGTCCCTTAGTGTTCCTCTCCCCTCCCCCCTCTGTTCCCTGTCGCTTAGTGTTCCTCTCCCCCTCCCTCCTTTTCCTGTACCTTAGGGTATCTCTCCTTAGGGTATCTCTCACAGACACTGTCCCTTGGTGCGCCACCCACCCCCATAGTGGTCCCCTCCCCTTCCTGGTGTGCCTCCTACCTTTCTTGTAGCGTGCCTGAGCGGAGCGAAGTTCCTGTACCATGGTACACTCCGCTTGGCCACGCTACAGTCAGGGGTGTATAAACACTGACAGTCACACACACTCAGTGACAAATACACAGACATCTCTGACAGCCAGAGTCACTTATCTGACACACTCATTCATTGACAGACACTCACACGCACACTGACAGACTCATTGACAAACACACACTGACACACACACACACAAACTCACAGACACTGACAGACACGTACTCACATGCACACACGCACATACTGACAGACACACTCACACACACTGACAGACACACATACTCACACACACACAGACAGACACACACACACACACACAGACACACACACACACACACACACACACACACACACACACACACACACACACACACACACACACACACACACACTGACAGACACACTCACTCACACACACTGACAGACACACATACTCACACACACTCACTCACACACACTGACAGACACACATACTCACTCACACACACTGACAGACACACATACTCACACACACTCACTCACACACACTGACAGACACACATACTCACACACACACACACACACACACACACACACACACACACACACACACACACACACACACACACACACACACACATACTCACACACACACTGACAGACACACATACTCACACACTGACAGACACACTCACTCACACACACTGACAGACACACACTCACACACACACTGACAGACACACATACTCACACACACACTGACAGACACACATACTCATACACTGACAGACACACTCACTCACACACACTGACAGAACCATACAAACTCACAGACACACATACTCACATGCACACACACACATTAATAATCTAAATTAAATTTACATTTCCCACCCAGCCTCCCTACCTGGAGAGCTGGCGTGGGTCTCTCATTGGTGGTCCAGTGGGGCTGCTGGGAGGCGTGCGGCTGAATTGGATGCCGAGGGAGCACATCAGAGAGATCAGAGCTCCCTCGGCATCCAAATAAGCCGCACGCCGCGCCGGGGATCCAGGAGGTGACCTGGCAGGAGGGAGCACTTCCCTCCTGCCGGTCACTGGAATTTTGCGCCCCCAGAGCCGGTGCGCCCTAAGGCGGCCGCCTGTGCCGCCTTATGGACGCGCCGGCCCTGATGGCAGTTTACTTTTGACTGACCATTTGTTTCTACAAACTCCTTCTTTTCTATCCTACATTTAAGTCTCTCTCCATATTTGACTACTCTAGACTTTTATTTCCTGTACATTGGTAAGGTCTGCTGCTTTGTAAGATCTCTTTCCACATATGGCTTGATTCAATACAAACTATTTTTGCGTTTGTATATACGATCAGCAGACATTTATTCCATGGTTTTTTACAATATATATATATGGATACAGGATATCTGTGGGCTTTTGCACTCAGGAAGATAGACACTGGCAACTAGATAGATATACGTATACCTTTTCCTATTTAGCATATGTACTTCATTAAAGCTGTCATATAGGAGTAAAGGTTCTGTATCAATTTATATGACATATTGCCTGGTCTTTGCTGTGACCTATGTGCATTCCCTTTAGAGAGCATAGGATTACTAGTATTGATGTTATATTTATTCTATATATTTTTTACTAGATTGTTTCTATTGGATATATTCCCTAGTTAATATTCCTTCACGCTACATTGCTATATAGTATTTCCAGGTAATGTAGTTAGACTGGGATTTGTTAGACATCCTAAGCCTGCCTGCATTTTTTCTATCCTTTTGTGGCGAGATCCTTAGATATAACTTTTTATGGGAGGTATAGTGCAATATAGAGCTCTCACTTACTGTCTATGCAGGACAATTCGCCACAGTACTCGGCTGAGTTATGGTTGTCTGGCTGACCTGAGAGCCAGGCACGATAATTGTACATGGATCCATCATTCCACTTCCAGCGCCGATTCTAAGCAGAATAACATGATTACTAATATAAACGTTTATATTCAATAATCAGAGAGTCCCATATATAAAGAACGGAATACATGACACAAAATATGCTATAATTCACTTGGACCATAAAAACATTGATAGCGTTGCTGTACATGGCATATAATGTATATAGTTAGTGTACGTGGCATATAATGTATATATATACTGTACATGGGGTGTAATGTACATTAATTAAATAATGTATATAGTATACAATGTATATACACTGAACAAAATTGTAAATGCAACACTTGTTTTTGCCCCCATTTTTCATTAGCTGAACTCAAAGATCTAAGATCTAAGAGGGGAGGATTTTGTGGGAACGAATGGGAGTGTTTACCTGTTTTGTACGTGTTTGGCTATTCTACAAAACCATGTGGGTGGTAACATTGTGTAAAAATGTGTTTATAAGAAACCAAAAAACCACAGCTCTGTCTTTTTTCCCCTCAACATAGAGCCTCGTCTCATGATTGGGGGATACAGCTGCATCTACACTGGGGGATTGCTATACTCTACATACTCCCCTAGCTATAATCACTAAGTTCTTTTAAGAGCTTGTTCCAGCGTTGCTCTCTGCAGGAAGAAAGGTTCGGTCTGCAGTGCTTATGGTGTCTGGAGAAGTGCTTGGAGCCCTCGGGAAGCACTAGGAGCATCCAGAAAATATCTCTATTTACAACAACAGTAAAAATACATAATTCCGATTATACTGAACAGAACCCCCACATTCAACCTATCCCCAGGTAGCTTGGATCTGAACGCTCAATATATACGAACAGCACTCAGATCCGACAAACAGAATAAAATCGCCATGGGGTTAAAAAGTTTAGCACAGGCTGATGAGAGGTTGAGGAGCCAGTTTCATTTAAAGGGCCTGTGACGGACCGCTGGCACTCCAACTGAGTACCTCCGCCAATCGATGCTCCTAGCGCTTGCCGAGGACTCCAAGCACTCCAACCGTCACCATCAGCACTGCAGACCCCACTTCCAGCGATGCAACTGCGCTGGGGTCTCTGCTGTCTCCACCCACCCTGGACACAAGGCCAGGATCCAGCTTCCAGTGGGTGAACCTCTCTTTCCCCAGAGAGCAGGAACAAGCTCTTAGCAGAACTTAGTGATCATACCCTGGGGAGTATAGTGATTATAGCAATCCCCAGAGTGTAGGTATCCCTTCCCCCAAACATGAGCCAAGGCTTAATGCTGGAACAAGACTGATTTACTGGCACACAGAACTCACAATTTATGCAACACAAAACTCCCCCTCTGGGCCAGGCTAGATAATTGAGTTTCTACAATACACAAAGCTCAATTATCTGCTGGCCAGAAACATTACAATTTTTACAGCATTCATAACTTCTAAAATATACATCACAGGGACCCCAAAACATGCAATAACCCCATAAAAAGTATATCCTTGGAACCAGGGGATCTGGGTGAACCACATATCCAAAATTCACCCAGATCCGTTCAGTACTTTGGAAAATACAGTTTAATGCAGATTCTGCAGAACATATACAGGCTAAATGAAAAACAATCACTGTATAATGTGTCCCCTGCTGTATAGTCCAAAACCACTGCACGATGTCTCTGTGCACCAAATACTGGCGAGATGGCACCAGTGTTGAAAAGTCCAAACAGTGTCTGTGAGTTAAAATGGCCGCCATCATTGTTCTCACCATGTGCTTCTGATACAGGAAATGGTGGCCACCCAGTAACTCCACAGTATGTCCCCAGATGGTTCTTAAAGGGCCAGCAGCAGCACAACACAAATCCATTAGGCCCAAATCATGTCTTTAAAGGGCAATACATCCCAGGGGCCATAGTCACAGGGCAAGAGGCGGGCAAGCAGTCCTCTCCAGGCACGAGTGGCGAAGGGCACTTCGTCACAGGGCCAGAACAATCTTTTAAACTCCAATAAGTCCAAATAGTGTTTTTAAAATGGCAATACTTCCCAGGGCCATAATCACAAGGCAAGAGGCTGGCAAGCAGGCCTCTCCAGGACCAAGTGGCGAAGGGCACTTCGTCACACATCTCCCCTTTCCCGGGAAGACTAACAAGGTATCTGACCTTCTGTCGGTCAGTGCCTTGGTTAGTCAAGCAACCCACCCACAATCAGTAGAGTAGCCCACCCACAATAACTGGTTACTGCACCTGATGGATCTGGTTCTCCTGGTCACTGGGTTGCTTTGCGGGCAGAGATCAGTGGTATTCTGCCCTGGTGCCAGCGCTCCAGCTGGGTAGCCTGGTACGCAGTCCTGCCCTGTAACAAAGGGACGGGTAGGGCAGAGGCCAGCGGTGCTCTGCCCTGATGCCAGCGCTTCTGCTGGGGTAGCCTGTAGGGAAGCAGGCTCTGGGAAAGGGGAGGGCAGCTCTTCCACTGGTGTAGCCTGGATGCAACTTGGCTGGGCAGGGGAGACAATGCTTACCTCCTCCTGAGAGGGTAGCTGGGGATCTGGACAGGCCGTCCAGCACCCCTGTAGGTCAGGTACAGAGACTACGGTCCCATCTGCACCGTCTGGGAGCTTAGTGTCTCCACTTTGTAGGGCAAGCTGCCGCTGGAGAGGGAGACCGACTGTCTCTACTCCCAATAAATTGTCCTGCTGCTGGGGAGTGAGACCAATTGTCTCTGCTCCCTGTAGGACACACTGCTGCTTTGGCCCCCTGAGATGCATACTGCTGCTGGGGAGAGAGACCGGTTGTCTCCTTTCCCTGCAAGGTACACTGCCGCTGGGGAAGGGGGACAATGCTCTCCTCTCCCTGCAAGGTACACTGCTGCTAGGGATCTGGGCCCAGCGCCCCTATAGGGTCAGTGGAGAGACCTCGGTCCCATCTCCACCTGCCGGCTGGGGGTTCTCCCAGTAAACCTGTACCATATCCTCCCAACTGAAGGGCTCCATACCTGGATCTGCCACTGCGTTCTCCTGCCGTGTCTCCTCAATTGAGAGGAGCAGATGTCGGTAGTCCTGTTCCAGCTCCCACTCTATCGATGCTAGGTGTGCCAAGTCTGGGCTCACCTCGTGGGTGTCAGCCCAATCTTGCATACTCTCCCTGAAGTCATAGATGTCACGGAATCGGGTCTCTGCAGGGCTTCCGAATTCAGTTTCTGTGAAAGCCTCCCACAGCAAGCCAGGGCCATGAAAACCATCTCCCTCCGGGTTGTCCTGCTCGCCGTCCAGGGTGTGCGCCGAGCTGTATACCACCAGAGCGCCTGGTAGGCATCCTCCAGCCACAGCTCCTGCCATGTCCGGTGCTTGAGTTCCTTTATCCACTCCTCCAGGGGCTGCTCTCCCAGGAGGGGCATCCGCAGTGCCTGTCACGTCTGCAATCGCTGCTCCTCACTGAGGAGTCCCTCGCCCCGCTGACGCTGTACGTCCCCCAGTGTTTTTAAATGGCAATACTTCCAGGGGAGGGCTGGCAGCCTTAGGCCTGGAGGGCAAAACCAGTCAAGTGGCCCATTGCACCACCAAATCAGTTCACCATCCATGCCCACCTTTTCCTGGTTTTATAACGGATATTGATGTTATGCTAATCAGTAGCTCTTTGCCATACCCGCTCCTTCACGGCTCCAGGCACTGCTTGTTGTGAGTGTGAGCCACTGTAAATTAGGGGCAGAGGGCACTTGCACTGCGGTAAAGATGGGGCTGGGCAGGAGGAGAGTGCAGTGCAATCAGTGCACTCCCCTCCTGTGGGTCACCAGTAGACTGGTGCACCTGCCCAGGATCAGAGCCGGTGCAAGGATTTTTGCCGCCCTAGACAAAATAAAAATTTGCTGCCCCCCCATGTAACATCACAATGCCCCACCCATATGAACTAACGCCAGTGCTGCACACAGTGTGTGTTTACATTAAAAAGCCTGCAGGGACCAGCTATAGACACCAGAACCACTTCATTAAGCTATAGTGTCCCTTTAATGTGAGGTACATTATAGATTAGTGTCACTAATAATATACTAGATTGCCTACTTACAAGCAGATGAGGATGATGATGGGCTGCAGTTTGGCTCCACTGGTCTGGTGTAGAACAGGATCTCTGGAGGCTGTTTGCAACTGTGGTCACAAAATTCAATGTTCTGGGAGAATTGGAAGCAGCTCCATTTTTTGGGGCCCCTTACACAGCTCAAGGTCTGGGCCCCAGGGCCTGATGGTGAGTATGCCCATAAGGCTTACTCATAAATTCCACCCACCCATGAGTTCGCTCACAGGGAGTGGAGTGTAGGGGATGTGTTATGTGTTATTGTAGAGGATCTAATATGTGTGCTTATGGTATGTAGTGTATAGGGTTACCAGTTTGTGCAGGTGATGTGGTGTGTTTGTGTGTAGTGGAAGCAGTGTGTATTTGTGTATAAGGGATGTATTATGTGTTTCTGGTTGTGTGTAAGGGATGCATTGTGTGAGTCTGTGTTTGTATGCATAAGGGATGCAAAGTGTGTGTCTGTATGTGTGTGCATTGAGTGTAAGAGATGCATTGTGTTTCTGTGTGTATGT